AAGTTTTATGTTAATGTTCAGATCACTCAACTAGAGGAAGAGCAAACTCGCTATGCCAATCAAACCCGGTATACCACTGGAATAATGATCAGTTTCATGCATATATGTTGTAACCAATATCTGACCATGTTTACTCAAAAATCAAAATAGTATATTGTAAGTTTATTTTTATTTTCCAGTCTATATCACCTTATTTCTTGAAAAATTTTCAATTTTGACTAACCTCTCTTTTCCAAAATATTGCCCTTTATATGCTCACAATCTGGTGAAACTGGCGAATTATAACATTTCTCAATAATACCATTCCACGTGACAACCACAATCACGTTCTCAGGCTCTTATGTACAAATCCCAACACAAATATCAGAAACCTAAAACTTATTTATATCTTGTGCATTGTTTTCCAAATCATCGAACTCTTGGTATCACAACAGCATTGTCTTAATTAAAACATTTATTTCAGCCGATAAGACGATGATCTCAATTTGTTGACTGATTCGAAACAAGGTATACGCAATGATTAGCTGTAAATTACAATCAAGCGTAATTATTTAGTTGATCGACATACGTCGTATAGATAACAGAGATGACAACAACACAGTTTCTTGTTTGAGTGCAGAACGCTGTGACGCATTCAGATGTTTTTGATCTGGGCAAGAATATTCTGTTGCGATATTGAAAATGTCATTGGTTTATTAAGGAGGTTAGACAGAAACGGAAGCTTGGATTATTTAATATATGATTTTTGATGATTACTATTAAACCCTTCAATTGGATAAGTTTTCATACCTAGAGGAGTGTTTCTCAACCTTTTTACACCGGCGGACGGTGCAGTAACATGTAATGAATTATCTTCGCAGACGGGTGAAATAATATTGGATTGAATTAAACAAAAGTAATAAGCTGTATTTGCCTTAAAAAAAACTACAAATGAATGACAAATTATATTTTTTTATGAGTTACAGTTATAGATGTTCCGGTATTTTATATTTTACATGCATACGGTATTGGGTGAGGAAGAGATTTGCTTTATGCTTATCTGATGAACCAAATGCAACTCAAACGCCGGTAGTTGAATATGGAAGTGTCTCGTTGGATGGTTATTATTTAATGTTATATTTTATCAAATTTCTGTTTCCGACACGATGGCGCTCGTCGTAATCGATATATGGATATATAAATTTAAATACGTTCCAAGAAAATCTGCTCAAATCGAAGTCACATGTACTCACTCAGAAATGTAGAAGATGAATGCTGAGCAAAGTTATAGGCAACCACTGAAGCGCCAACTGTCTGAAGTTCTAGTGGGAATATAAATGATTATGAATTAGAGTTGCTCGTTATTAAATACTGATTGTTGCGAGATTCAAATCAGTTTATGTCAATACGATTAGGAAATTAGATGTAAAGTTCATGACTGAAGTGTTTGGAAAAATCTTTAAACGTTTTTTTTTGTCTGGTAGGCATATTGACTGTTAACAGATGAAAGCTCACAACCAACCGACTTAGACCGCGAAAATTGTTTTCGGAGAAACAAATTTCGAAGCGTACAAGAATACAAACCGTTACAATATCAGTAAAAGAAGTATAGTGGCGTAACATTTCTTTGGTGGAATAGCGTTTGAGCAGTTTCATGTTTAATCTCCTGTACATATATTTGTGTAATGCTCTCTTTTTAGACCCAACATTTGAAACCAATATTTATGTGCATGCAATTACGTTTCTTGTTATAGTTGTAAATTGCTTGTCTGAAGAAGTTTGACCTCGGTCAGACGAAACGTTACAGATATATATTTGTGTTCGTGTGCAGCAAGACTCTTGAATTGAATAAAATATATTTCAATATAAATTTAATTCAAATCGAAAGCTTCGGAAACATGGATAGGCCTACAGACTTCTACTACCAGAACAAAAAGGTGCTGGGTTGTAAAGATACGCCCATCACCAATCCCCACTTAGCCCTCATGAATACGCAAAACAAAATCATGCTCCGAGAATGAGCAATGCCAAGAAGATCAAATGGGGCACGCAAACCAGCCCACACTTTCTGCATAGAACAAACAGAATTGAAGAAGATATATAGTGGTTTGAAAACATAGATCACAGGCAACCAAATCAGCATCTTTAGCACCCATCGCACTATAGTTTCTGAGTGTAACAGCACGTCCGGGAATAATCAAAAATTGAACAGAAGTGCCATTCGAAGCAACAATAAAATATTGAATATATATCGAATAAGTAAATGAAATCATCAAGTCATGGTCAATACGATATCGGATCGTATAATTGTGAACACGGAATTCATGCTCTGACTAAAGTTAAGCAAAAAAAAGGAGCGACTTCTTGGAATTGACGACAAAATAATGTGCTTGGTAACGACGGAATTTTATAACGGTGCTAGATAGATTTATAGCTAGTATAGATTTACGTATTGTGGGACGCAATCTGACTCTGACAGACCTATTACTCGCCACTTTCAAAGTCTAGGTACAGTCATTTCATTTCCTAGTGACAAGAAATGCACATTATTAACTTTCTTGATACCCTACAACTTTACGGCATGAAAGAGCAGTTTACATTTACCAAATAACGGCCCAAATACCGCGATTGTTACACCGTGCTTATTATTGGGCACGAAATGGACCTATTGGTGGTTCCCAAGCTTTTGAATATTGCTCACACCTAAATCGAATTACCAAATCCTCTATTACCCCTTCCATAAAAGTAGAATTTCCAGCACACAAATTATCAAATTCAATAGCGGCAATAACATTAAGAATCCATGAACACAAGAACAGCATCCTAATTTAATCTCATTGGAAAGGGTGGCGCCGTTTATGCGATATCAAACGATTCAACATAGGAAAAGTTGCCGACATGAACCATTCCATAGTAATGACAGTCATAAGCCAATTTTGGTTAGATGGATGTCTTTGCAGAGAATCCTACTTAGCAGCAAAACATTGAAGGAAATTTAACCAAAAATGTTAATGGTTCTTGGAAATGATGGTATAATTCTAACAATAATAATATTGCCCTCCACAATGAACTTAAGATGCTGAACTTATGCTTGCTTACATTTTAGCCTACAATTGGGATGTAGCAATGCTGATAGACTAGATGCAAATACTGCGTATACAGCTCTTCATCAGACCAGCGAAGAAGACGGCAAGGATTACAAAACAGGGAACAAAAATGCTAAAAATGCCAATATCTTATATCTATAAGAGTAATTGCCCCCAGTTTGAGAACCACTGGCCTATGATAAATGGATCGTTGGATAATGTTGCTGTTGTGAAAAAAATCCGTTTTCTCTTCATAACAAGACCAATTGCTTTGAAATTTTCAGTTGTTAAAAGTTGTTGTTCGCGTGAGAAGGCCAATATTTTTATTTATTTAAAAAAATCCTCCATGGTGTATAATATAAGATTCTTTTTTTACTCTAAATGTATGTGTGATGACGTCATGAAAATAGTGCCTTGGTTCGGTGATGGCATATGGGCGTTTGAGGGTCAGACTAGCAGTACTGTAAGAGTTTTGGTACTACTGCACTTTAATCTTCGTGTTCATACTTCTGAGCATTGTTCTCTTGCTCGACACGTGGTGGACCTATGAATAGTTTTGCTGTTATATTGTGTCGTTCGTCTTGTTAGTATTTTTTGTCTTATTGTTGTTAAAAAATGTGCTTTCTCTTCTGCTGCTGGACCAATTTATTCGAAATTTCAATCAATAAAGATCGTTGTTGTCGACATTTTATTCAATATTTTGCTCTATTACTATTATTCATGGGAACACGGTTTTCATACAGCAAAGCGTGGCGGCCGTCTTCCTTTTTGATTTAGGCGAACTCGTGCCTCTCAAAAGTCGGAAGTTTTTCGAAACCGGTGACGTCGTTATTGTCATTTGTAGAACATGAGGGGTCGATTTTTCTGTTGAAAATATTTGACTTCTGGTCATACTCTAATACCAAAGATTTTATTTTGCGGGACATTTTCGCAACCCATGGCAGGGTTGATCATCATGAAGTCCCCGTCATGTGCAAATGCCATTGCATTATTTTCTAATATATTCTAATATAAAACGCACCCTTTTGCCTTAGTTTCACGGCGATTTAAGATAAATAAAAATCCTAATTGGTGTGTTATTAAAACAAAAAGTTTATATGGCAAAGTTTCTCGATAAAAGGCCTTCAAATACTGCTTTTCTTCTATATTACCTTGATGTTGTTCAAATGTTTGCGTCACTCTAGCTTAGTCATAGTTATTTCTAAATGAATGGGTATCACCTTGCTTCTTATAAAAAGTTATAATGTAGAATCGACTCTGTCAGATGTGAGTATCTCCACTCAATGCTGGCGCGTGAAGACACATTTAATCAGTAATTTATTTCTTTATCATGGTGAAAATAAGCACTAGACATACACAAACTAAATATTTATAAACAAAAAAACGTATTTCAGGGCGAAGGGAGACGTCGATAATCAATACTAGTTATCGAGTGCATTTATCATGATTATGCCAACCATGATGAGAGATGCTCCACGTTTAACAATGCCTATAAAAACCCCTGATATTTTAAGGGAACTATTCGTAAAACAATTGTTTTGGGTCGTATTCAATTTGAGAATACTTCTGTAATTTACGCCCTGAACAATAGAATGCATTTTCAATATATAAGTGATAGTTTAAATAGATCAGAGCATTTGCTGAGAGTGGCTGTCATTTAGGTTATTTCGATGTTTTAGTGAAATGATAACTGCTACATGTTATTTTTAAAAATGTGAGGCGTTGCTGCTCCTGAACGGCTTAGGCTGCTTCATTCAAGTAATATTTATTTAATTATTGACGACGTTTATCTGGCCTGTGACACCTGATTTGGCTTATATAATAAATTAATGTTGCACTTTTTTGGTGTTGAATGATAGGAAGCAGTCTTACGTTCATTTGAATTCAGTAGGCAAGGCTTACAATTTTTATCAAGGAAGAACAAATTTAATTATTATGGAACAAATACAAGACCAAACTTGTCCTATTTGTTCGGAAAACAAAGATGATTTAAGAATACTGCCATGTTGGCATTTAGCATGTATGAATTGTATACTTAACATGTCACAATGTGGCGAGGGAAGGTGAGTTATGTCATAAACTTGTTTATTTATCACGTATATTAGAATGCTTATGATATACAAGTGAATTTATTGCCCTCCATTAATTTTCCACTACCACCATGCGATTGCACAATGTGTCGAAAGAGTGAACAATAGATTTCGAACACAAAGGTAAACATTCTTACATTACGTACATTACGGCGAAACGGCGAGATGCCAGCAATTTGAAGAATACATTTCGTTTGCCATTTGTTACGACTTGCGGAGTTCCCCTTTCCGTTCTTCATTGTTTATAATTGTGTTGGTGTCTTTATTACTTACATTTCATTCCATTCCACTCACAGAACTGTAAAACTTGCGGAGGTCCTCTTTCCGTTCTTCATTGTTTATAATTGTGTTGGTGTCTTTATTACTTACATTCCATTCCATTCCACTCACAGAACTGTGAAACTTGCGGAGTTCCTCTTTCCGTTCTTCATTGTTTATAATTGTGTAGGTGTCTTTATTACTTACATTTCATTCCACTCACAGAGCTGTAAAATGTCATGAGTGCAGACAAACAAGTTTATTCGAAAATATTCGTTGCCTTCCCAAACCTTTGAGATGTGGATGTTGCAACCAATTTCTCAAAAATTCAAAAGTTATGCCATGCTGTTCAAAACTGTACTGCATCGATTGCATCACGAAGCAATCAACAGGAACGGGGTACGTGTTTACTTGTTAGCCTGTGCCAATTTCAATTATTATTCAAATCTGAAATTGGGTATTAAAATTATTATATTTTGATCGTATATGGATATTTAATATCCAAGTTATCAAATTTCATTTTATCTAAGGTTATTTGAACTAAGTGTTTTTATTAATTGTGATTTCATTTTTTTCAGTGCTTGGTTGGTTTGTCCAGGTGGTTGTTCATACCATTTCTACAGTGTCGATGAGTTACCAAAATCGAAGTTATGTAGTTTGTGTTTTCGTTTGCATTCCGACGATGCTTCGTTATGTGACCACTCTATTTGTATTGAGTGTAATCAAAAACTGCAGAAAAACGAAAGGTAATAAGTTAGAAATGCCGAGACACGTACACTGCTTTGGTCTGGTGCCACGGTTGCCTTTGCAGTTTTTTTAGCAATTACCTGTTTTAGAACGTAGGCGTAATTTATTAATATCTATTTTATTTTTTACATTTTTGAATACCTTACAATATTTCGCGAATGGTTATTTTCGGTTTCAGGGGGTGTCCGTTGTGTTTGGCAGTAAGAAATCCAGCGCCAACACCGACAAATCCTATTCACCCCAGTCAGAACCGAATCAATATAACCATGGAAGAGTTGGAAAATTTGAATTATCAACCTCAACAAAATCGAACTGAATTTTTGAATGCTCTGCAAGCATTAAGCCTTATTCATCAATTGAACCGATCTGAAAACAACGTAGAAAGTATTCAAGAAAGACAAGCTGCACGGACGAGGGTATTGTATATCCGTCTGAAAAATAGATTTGTACTACAATTTTAAACTGAAACCAATTGGTATTGTAGAAGTGGTATGACCAGTAGATTTTTATGTCGTTTACTTTATTTTACGTAGGCCCGTAGGGTATGCTTGTATTGTTACGTAACAATAGAGACAGACACTACTGCAATTCACTGCAGTTTATTCATCTGATAAACCTATAGTGTAGCAAACATGAGTTATTTGTTTAGCATTTCAAAAGAAAATCAGGAAAGTAGATCTTTTGCTTTTTTTCTTAGGCCTACATGTTTTCAAATTTTTAAAAGGCGTAAAGTACACATTGACGATGATAAAATTGAGTTCATTTTAAAGCGGCCCTCTTTTGTGTAAGTACGCCGTGGGTTTTTTCTACGACCAAAATCCCAGCCAATGCTGTAACATTGAAAATGCAAAAGTTTTATCAGAAAATATGAGCGAATGTGAACGAATTTCCAATTATTTGATATTTTCATCACTACTGTACATTAGTTGCACGAACCTCACAGGTTCAAAAATAGGACTTTGGACTTGAAACTCTTTACATTTTCAAAACGATTTATTACATTATTGCAGAAAATCATTCAAGATGACTTGCCAAAAGCATTTTTGGTTCTCACTTGCGTCTTTGTAGCTGGTTACTTCTATGGAATGAATATAATGTTGTGGATTATCTTGGGAGCATCAATGCTAATCACGAGACCTCATCTTGAATCAGCTGTATTTATTTGTCAAATCCTTAATACAGGATTGTGGATAATAAATCTCTACACTAATTTTTATCAAGTAATCATTTTTACACTAGTTCAAATAGCTTTTGGTCTACTATTAGAAATTATGTATCGAGTCGCGTTCAATGGTCGCGATTTCTATCGACAAACTATTCATTTGTGGATTTGTTCGGCGTTTAGCCTTGCCATACCTTGGGCCTTTTTTCCAGACTTATTTGTTCACGTTGTACTGTCTGCATGTCTTGTTATGTTTTTGACAAAATACTTGAAATATAGAAAGCGTGAGAACATGTCTTAAAATCTAATAAATATCTTATATTTTGAATAATTATTATGCTTTCATTAAAAGATTTCTCTAATAATTTTTGGAATATTTTGTAATTTATATCACGAATTTCTTCCAATAACTTTTTATTAATATTGTATGTAATATACTATTTTCATTTTAATATATCAAAAAAGTAGTGCGTAAAAAATTGATTTTGCATATATTAAGACGTCCTGTAAATTTCGAATTAAATCCAACGATAACAGGTATGCTATATGGCCCAGGGATGGCGAACCACTGACCCGCGGGTCACAAAGTGACCAACCGAGTTTCATTCGTGACCCACCAAGGCACGAATGAAAAATGCTAACATGTCAGTGATAAAAATTGATCTAATAATAACTTAAATATTATATTGTACCGTCAGTTGGGCAGTCAGAGCTGCGAACGCTCATATTGTTAAATTCCGGGCCGGTATGGTAATTTTCAAAACCCCCAATTTTGGACGCATGTCTGCACCTTTATTCAGCTATTGGTTTTGACATCGTTTATGACATAACAATGCAATTGATTGATCGGTTCATTTCTCGCAACTTATTTCGAAAGTGCATCTGCAGACTGTTTTAGGGGTTATGCGAGAACTGGATGCTACTTTTTAATTTCATTAGTTTCTTGCCTACATTGCCGTTGAGAAAACAAAATCTTTCAAATCTTCAGACAAAATCCTTGATAAAAGTGCTGCACGAGTAAAGCATAAAACTACACCAACACCAACAGAAGCTCATAGGATTTCAAAAGTTTCTTATAAATACAAACATTGATTTAATATATGTGACCCACTCTTTTCTGTTTCGCGATAAAAATGTAATTTTTGACCCATTAATCGAAAAAGGTTCGCCATCCCTGCTATATGCGAATATATTCTGAAAAATACACCATGCGTCAGAACTGACTCAATTTGATTCAGTCATGGAGTAAACAGATTTTTTTATCAACCGTTTACCGCTGATATGGTCAGAATGTTCAGCATGTTAAAACTGGTTTATTTGAAAAAACGGCATACATTATAAGTATCACGATGTATCAGCTTAACGTTTTAAAAAGGTAGGTAATTTCATTTTTAGCTTACTTCAGATCTTTAAATTAAATAGCTGCAATCTCATTTTAGTCTTTTCGCATTAGATTTTTGTTTAAAATACAAACGTTTAAAACTGTTGTGTGAATATATATTACCATATTCTATTCTAGTCGTTAAGCTTAAGTAACTGGTAGATTTTAACCGAATAAGCTTATTAATATTGGACGCGCAATCTTACCAATACGTTGTTTGTTGCGCCATCGAATTCCGTCTGTATTAAAATATAACTGGACTTCTTTTGCATTTGAGTGTAGATTTCCTAACGATTGGGTCCAATAGTTAGAGATACAGGCGTTTTTTTCTTAAATATAATATCCCAAGAAGAACAACAATTATACAAATCTACACTTAGGTTCACTTTATGCCAAACAAGGGAGACAATGTGCCATTGCTATCTACTATAATTTATTTGTTCGACTTGTATACTACTAACCCTGATAAAAAATAATTTTGTACGAACTGTTGTCTATTTTTGCTACAATTCTCGGTATGTTACTACCGTAATATTCAATAGATAATTTAAAATACTGGCAGTATGGGTTTAATTTACGTATATAGTTTTTCAAATATACGATGCCAAAATATTTTCACATATCTAAAAAAAATAAGTCAAAAATAATAAACTATAGATTTAGTAACAAATGCAAAAACGTCGGTAGCTGAAGTCCAAACATGAAAAGACAATATACAATACGCCATCCTTTAGTATAGTGATTTACACAACTCACCTAGTTCCTCTTTCCTCATTGTTTGTTTGGTATATATATTATTTATTGCGCTCGTTAAATTTAACACTCAAAGATGAACTGGATCCAAGTATCAGTATAAGTTTCATCTACTTCTCCCAAGTCCCAGGTGCTACGAGTGAAAGCAAACATGTTTATTTTACAATCTTCATTCACTCTACATACTACCCATAGCGGATGCTGTAATCATTCAGCAAAAGATCAAAAATTTACAACGCAACCAACGAAAACAGGGTACGTTTATGTAATATGGTTATTGTCGTTTTAGAACTCGTCATAGTATGATGTTGATTTAGTGTTGTAAAATTTAGTGTAAGTTGGCTATATGTATATGACCAGTTGACCAACGTGCATCTAAGTCAATGCAAAGTCCATATTTAGCGATATATATAAGCAGTTGTAGAATAACATTGCCTCTCTTTTGTTCAATACTCGTTTTTTCGTCAAGTCGTTTCTCGTACAATTTCAACAACGTGGATGAATTACCACAATTAAAGTTTTTATTTGTGTAAGATATAAATATAACATTTCAGAAAGAAATTTTATAAATGAGAAAATTCTCACATACGTATAAAAAGAAGGTGGTATTGTCACCAAAGACAAAAATTCTAAATGATCGATTTTTCCAAACTTATCTAATTAGGAATAAAGAAGGCTGCTGCATAGAGTCGGAATAAATTTGGTAAAATATAAAACTAATAATATTCTTTAATTGCATTTTAATTAATGAGAATATTTCAGCATAAGCGCTGGAGAATCCAATTCGACGAGTTCAAAACTCAATTGTAATACTATGGAATGATTATAGAAAATTTAACCTATCAACCTATGTCGCAGAATAAGGAAAAATTAATACAAAACTTAATATTAGATTGGTATGAATGCTTTGGATTTGATTTATTAGATGGAATGTTTTAGTTGGTGTTCTTCGTGTTTGGCTGCGAAAAAACCACCACAAGCTCCGATTCAGCCAGTTGAATATCAAATTAGAATTACACTGGAATTACAAAGTCTGGACTTAAGTAGGTAATTTATTTATTTAATTTATTCCCAGTACAATTAAATGTACAAGCATGTACAAAATAAGTGTTTATTGCTAACGTAATATTTAAAGCTAATTGATATCTATAATAGACAGGCCTTACACTATTGAAGCAACCAAAGTATCTATTAAACTGATTACCTTATTTCTTATTCTCACAATATCACTGTGCTTTGATCACTAAATTTAGCCAAAGATAATACTTTGCGTAGGTTGCAATCTATATACCTGTAAACTTTGGCTGAAATGCATACATTTAAACAAAAATATGCTTCATTGCTGCAGAAAAACCTCCAAGCTGACTTACCAAAATCATTTTTGATTTTCACCTGTACATTCATTGCTGGGCATTTCTATGATGTGAGCTTGAAATTGTGGATTATATTTGGAATGTCAATGCTAATCTTGAATTTATTTGTCAGATCCCTAATACGCTATATTCTGGACAATGGTCATATACAACATTTTGTTTCATCATTTGAAATAGCACTTGTAATGTAGCATTAGAAAAACTATGTCTTATCGCGTTCAGCGAATTATATTTCCATTGTTTTCTATATCTCCTCTTTTTGTCATGAAGAAAGGAATATATTCTAGTATATCATTATTATCTCCTATTTTATTTGCAGCTGTGAAACGAACATGCTTATTTCAAAATATTCGCTCCCTTTCCAAACCTTCGAATTGTGGATGTTGCGATCAATCTCTAAAAATATGCCATGTTGTTCATATTCATAACTGCATTGATTGCATTAAAAGCAATCGACCGAAACGGAGTAATTTTTTATTATACTTACTTCAATTTTCAAAGTTGCCATTAGTTGAATGAAAAACTCGATGAGAAAATTCGTTTATATAAATAAGTAAGTTCACTATATAGAACTGGTTTATTCGCATTCTAGCATTATCAATATAACGAGTATATTGATTGAAATTAATTTTGGCAGTACTGTATTTTAGTTGCTTTGTCCAGGTCGTTGTTCATAAAAATTCTATCATGTGATGAAACTACCACAATCGAAGTCATTTTATTTATGTTTTTGTTTGCATACCGACAATTGTTTATTATGTGGACACTATGTCCTCACTGGATGTAAACAGAAAATTGTTAAAGATGAAAGAAAATATTTCAGATGGATCGCAGTGAACCTGATATCAGCAGATGATAAATTCACCATTGGTCTCTGCTCAAGAGACATTTTGAAGAAACAATACTAAATATGAGCAACATTCCAGATAGTCTATATCCATCTTACTTTATATCATATGTTAACCTGTTTTCTTCAGGTGTTAATGATAAATTTTATTATTCATGCTTTCTATTCTTTTTATGATTCAGCTAATAATATTCTGTTCGGTTTCGATGCGTGTCCTTTGTGTCTGGCTGTGAAAATCCACCCCCAGCTACGATTAAGCCTGTTGTAGACTAAGTTAGAATGGCTCTGAAATCATTACAAAGTCTGAACTATAGACCGCAACAGCAGAATCAAACAGATATTCTGGTTAATCTCCAGGTTTGGAAAAAATTGTTCGAGTGTCGATTCGTTCATCTACCAATGTATCACTGTATATATTTCGTTGGCGTTACAAACTTGCAACCACTGCAATGGGCGTATAGACAATAAAATCCAAAATTTACCGCAATTCGAAATAAAATTGTGAAAACAAAGTTAATATTTTCAAATTTCTGATGAAGAGTTCCATATACAATACACATTACACAATACAACCTGGTACGACTCATTTAAATGCTTTATAATTACGATACTGTGTATGGCGTGGATCACGAGATCACGTTTGATATTATTCGCTGTTTAAACAAGTTATAGTCTTGATGGAAATGCTTAAAATTATATTCTGTATATCGTGGTAAAAAAATCGCCTTTCTCCGCAATTTCTGGAATAACCGATTTGAAATTTTCAGTGGTTAAATGTAGTATTTTTCGCTACAAGGCTATTGCTTTTATTTATTCCTTAATTTTCTATGAATCCAATAAGATCTGATATTTCATCCAAAATTTCGCCTCATTAATTTTTACTCATAGCAACACGGTTTTAAAAACTGAATCATCTAGCATAGATCATCTTCACGGGACCTGGAAAAGCTAGGACGGTCCGCGCACCGTTACCGGTCCCGGTACCCTTATACA